TTAGGGGATAAGCTGAATGCGGATGGAGGATGTTTGAGCGCAGTTACGGCTAGAGTTCGTGTGGGATGGATGAAATTTAGGGAACTGGGTGGGGTATTGTGTGGAAAGAAATGGTCAGTGAAGATGAAAGGGAGGGTATATAAAGCATGTGTGAGAGCAGCGATGATATATGGTGGTGAAACTTGGGTGTTGAGGAGAGAGGAGGAAAGTGTACTGCAGAGGGCTGAAAGAGCTATGGTGAGGATGATGTGTGGGGTTAAAGTGAAGGATAGGAGGAGTAGTACAGAGCTGATGTCAATGATGGGACTGAATGAGGACATTGTGACATTGATAAGGAGATCGAGATTGCGGTGGTATGGACATGTGTTGAGAAGGGATGAAAGGGTCGGGATTAGGCGAGCGTTGGAGTTCGAGGTTGAGGGAGTGGTAGGAAGGGGTCGTCCGCGATTGGGATGGAGAGAGCAGGTGGAGAAGGACAGGGTGAAAGCGGGGTTGCGTGATACTGAGGCGAGTGACAGATGTGGATGGAGTCGAGGGGTATTTCGGTTTCATTATAGGTAGCCAAGCGGCAACCCCCGATCTCGGGGAAAATGCCGTCTAAACGTGTGTGTGTGTATTTATGTCAAATCTGGATGAAAAAATATATTATTACATTATTCATCCTGTGCATAAACTATCAACAATTGCTGTACCACTTTACAAATACCTGTCTTTCGTGCATTCAAAGATGCGTAGTAGATAGACAAAATTATGTCTTTTATACCACCTCAGCACTCATATAGTGCACAACCAGACAGCAGTGGAGAATGTAGTCATTCAGATCAGCGGTCTCCATAAAAAAGGTATATTTGACCCTAAATCTAATTTACTGGCAGAGTTTAAAACAGCCGCTACTCCATTTTCTAATTCTGACAATAATGATACAAGACATGAACTAGATAAATATTTGATACTACACGTAACTGACTGTGTTGCATTGCAATTCTAGGTAGAAAATGACTTCAATAATAATTTTCCAGCTGTTTGCAAGAAAGTTTGTAGCTATTTCAGCATGTGAAAGTTTTTTCAATCTGTGGAGTAACAATGAAATAATCGCAGGGCTAGACTAAATCCAGAAACATCGGAAACACTGACGTTGTTGAATGACAACATGCAGCCATGATTAGTTTATCAGCTCGCTGTGCCGAACATTAAGAATTTCTAACAAGATAGCAGTTATTGCTCACTGTTGCATTTATGGTTAAGCTCTGTAATCTATCTCCTGTGAATTGATGGCAGTCACCAGAACAAAGACGGAGCTGGGTGATAGATGTATGCAGGTCGCTTTGCCAAAAATTCTGACTACAATGCATTTTTGAATATTCATCTTCTTCCCTAATTAATGCTATGTTAATTATTTTATTTTGTTTCTCATCTAAGTTAATAAAACTCTGCTATTAACACAATATTTATTATTTTTAACGCATTATGAAGTGGACCGAATCAGCGAGTAATTAATAAATTAATTATAAGTTATATACAACACTGAATGAATAAGTTCCATACAGAACTTACCGCAATTTAATAGTAGCATAACTAAAAAAACGCAACCTGTTTCTTTTCTACCAGCTTGTTGAGCATGACGATGCATGAAGACTGCTTCTCCCAACACATCAACCAGAAGTGACTGAAAGTTATTGCTAGTGGACCCTGATTGAAAAATTATTTTAAAGATTTTATCCAATTCTATCAAAATATCGTCATTGTCATGTTCAATTATATTATTATTATATATATATATTTATATGTGTATTGATTTATGTATATATATATATATATATATATATATATATATATATATATATATATATATATATGTATATATAATTTATATGTATAATATTTTACATGTGCATGGAAGTATTAATTTCGTCTATTAAAAATCTTTAATTTATCTTAGTACAGTGGTTGTCTTGTTTCGAAAAGTTGTCAAATAGTTGCTTTTGGTTTCAGGATAATTGCTTAATTTAATTTTGTTTAATTTAAATTGTAAAAGTAGTTATTTCGTTATTTTGTTGCAAATTTGAGTTAATTTTTTAATCACGTGGTGTTTGTTTGGTCGACTTAGGAGATACGTTTTGTTTTTCATAAAACAATGGATACACGTGAAAAATGTACTAAATGTACAAAGTCTGCGAAAGATAGTTTATGTTTGCAATGTTGCCAATGTGAATCTATTTATCATTCAACTTATACGGCAATACCGGATAATGTCGTTACTTTTATACGTACAAGCAGCAATGTTAAATGGTTTTGTGACATATGCATCAAGACTACACCAAATGTCAAGTTGTTGTCCAAAGCAAATGAATTGTCAAAGAAAATTGATAAATTGTATGACTTGAACATTGCAATAAAGTCAGATATGGAAATTATAAAAACTGCCATTAATTCAAGCGAGGCCATGTTAAATAAACTTGGTGGTTTGGAGTCAGATTTGAATGACAAGATGCAGTCATTAAAACATAATATAAAGTCAACTTTTGCTTTGGTTGTTAGTCAAGAAGTCAAAAAGAACGTTGACGTTCTTAATGCCGAAGTTAAAAATGTGCACAAAACTTTGATTGAAGCATCCGATGTGAAAGATAGAGAAACAAATATAATGTTATTTCGACTGCCGGAAGATGTCAACGATAAAGAGCGAGTTTTCAAAATTTTGAACCATTTAACGGATGACGCCATGTCTGATAAAAAATTGTGAGATTGGGTAAAAAAACTGATGGCACGTCGAGACCTTTGCTTATCAAGTTGGACAATATCGCTGTTAAAAATCAAATTATAAAAAGCACTTTTAAATTAAGTTCTCTGGTTGATCAATTTGGTCGAATTGGCATTAGTCATGACTTGACTAAAGAACAGAGAGGTGAATTGAAAATTTTGCAAGATGATGCTAAGATGCAGGAAGCTGCTAATAAAGATTTTTTATTCAAGGTTCGCGGTTCTCCGGGAAGATGGAAGATTGTAAGATTCCCGGTGAGAAAAAAGTAAATTTTGATGGATTGGGTTGTGGCCGGGCTGCTTTTAGGAGTGTGATGGGTGGTGGTAGTGGTGGTGAAGGTCTTGGTTTTGATATATCTGCTGGTTCTAATGGGGTTAAATTAAATCTGGGTCTATTAAATATAAGGTCGATTTCTACAAAGTTTAATGTTGTTTATGATTTGATCTACGATGGATTGGATATTTTCGTTGTAACCGAAACTTGGCATGGGTCTTCAGATAATCCATCCATTGCACTATCAATGCCTCCTGGTTATCGTTTTGTGGATTGTGTGAGAAATTATGATCCTTTGCATGGTGGATTAATAATCTTTTTCCGTAACTGTTTGAGATGCAAAAAAATTGATTTACCTGCAGTTGTCACATTTGAGGTTTTAGCGGTCAAATTTACAACCAACAACCGGGAATTTATATTGCTCGCTATTTATAGACCGGGTTCTGCTCAATTATCTACATTATTTTTTAACGAGCTGATATTGGTGCTGGAAAATGTAACAGTATTAAGTTCTCGTATTATTTTGACAGGTGATTTCAACGTTCACATTGAAAGGACTAACGATCCACATGCCTTTAGGCTAATTGATGTTTTTGAAAATTTTCAGTTTCAAAATCATGTAAAAGAACCTACGCACATACATGGTGGTACATTGGATTTAATAGTCACTTCAGTCGATCTTCCTGTCCAAGACTGTATAGTATATCCAAGTGGAATCCACTCTGATCATGGTTTCATTAAAATTGCACTGTCAATGACTCGAAATTGTACGTCAAGAATAAAAAAAGTAGTCAAATTATGGAATCGTTTGAATGAGGATGAATTTATTAAACTTGTTCTCGACTCTCCAATATCAAAACCATGTTCAACAGAAAATATTGATGAAGAACTGCAGTTGTTTACCAGTAAAATAAATTGTGTGATCAATAGAGTTGTACCAATCCATATGGTAGTCACCAATCGTGTTAATTTGGCACCGTGGTTTGATGATGAGTGCAGGTTTTGTAAACGTGCTTGTAGAAGGAAAGAACGAATTTTTAAAAATAGTTTGCAACAAGTTCATCGTGAGGAATGGAGATGTGCTTTGAAAAATAAATCAAAACTTTTTTCAGAGAAACGTCACAAATATTGGACTAGGATTGTTGAGGAAAACAAGACAAAACCTAAAAATCTCTAGAAAGTTTTGAATAAAATTCTCTGCAGAGATCATAATGACAATCATTCTTCTAGTATGCATGAACTTACGCCAGATCGATTTATGTCCTTCTTCAACGACAAACTGAGTAAGGTGATAGACAGCATCGAAATCAAAGTTCGGTCTAACTCGTCTGATTGCAGATCAAATGTCAAAAATTTGTTCGCAACATTTTCAGATGTTTCTGAGAAAGATATAATTAACATAGTAAAAAATTCACCAACTCACATACTCAAAAAGTTTATTAATCTATTTTCGCCATTTTTGACATGCCTTGTCAATATGTGTTTAAATCAAAGTAAATTTCCCTCTGCTTGCAAACATGCTATAATAACTCCACTAATAAAAAACCACTATCTTGATGAGAATAATGTTGAAAACTATAGACCGATATCCAATCTGTCTTTCATATCTAAAATAATTGAACGTGTGGTTGTTAAACAGATACTCACTCACCTAGAGAATAATCATTTAATGTCGATTTATCAATCAGGTTTCAGGCAATACCATTCAACTGAAACGGCTCTATTAAAGGTTCTGTCTGATGTCTATGGGGCTATCGATCAACAGAAGACGTCTATGATGGTGTTTCTCGATATGTCATCCGCATTCGATTGTGTAAATCACAAAATACTGTTAGAGAGATTGTGTGTTACTTTTGGATTTTCTGGTGCTGTGTTAAGGTGGTTTGAATCGTATTTGGTTGGTAGAACTCAGCAAGTATCATTTGGTGGTAAAGTGTCCGAGGTCAAAATAGTTTTGTCTGGTGTGCCCCAAGGCTCGGTTCTGGGTCCTGTCATGTTTCTTCTGTATACATCTGAGGTATTCAAAGTGGTTGAATTATTTGGTTTCTCATATCATGCATTTGCGGATGACATACAAATCATTGTTACCAGTAAGCCTGGTACTTTCCAGGCCGAATTGGACAGATTGGTTGAATGTTTATCAAAGGTTGATTTGTGGATGCAAAACAATGCTCTCAAACTGAATCAGAGTAAAACGAAATTTTTGCCGGTAGGTACGTGGAAACAGCTTATGAAGCTAGAAACTGATTCAATCATTATCAAAAACAGTGTCATCCCGTTTTGCCAAAAAGCTACTAGTCTGAGATTTATTCTAGATTCCAATCTGTCAATGAAAGATCACATTAGAATGCTTTCCGTTGAATGCATGTACCAAATAAGAAAGCTCAATCAAATACGTAGATCTCTTGACACTACGTTGCAGACTCTGGTTCATGCCTTCGTGCACTCACGAATTGATTATTGTAATAGCCTGTTTTACGAATTACCTGATAAACATTTAGCATTTAGCTGTATTACAGTCATTGCAGAATCGTGCTGCAAAGGTTGTTGTCGGCGGTTTAAAATATGATCACGTATCACCAATACTGAAACAAATGCACTGGCTAACCGTAAAAAAAAGAATAATCTTCAAAATATCAACTCTAGTCTACAAGTCAATAAATCGTCTTGCACCACCTTATTTGTCGGAAATGTTTGCAAAGAAGTTGGCACCTCCTTCTGGAACGCATCTGAGGTCTCATGATCTGAACCTGCTGCTAGTCCCAGTTTCGTGTCTTCATATGGGGTCTCGTAACATCGCCGTCTTGGGACCGTCTGTTTGGAACAATTTGCCTGCCTTTCTAAGAGATCCGGAGTTGAACCTCCCTGATTTTAAAAGAAAACTGAAAACTTACTTATTTTCGTTGTAATTCATCGAACTGACTTGTTTTAGTTATAACTGAGTGATTTATATAGTTTATTGTGCGATGTTAGATTAAGGAAATAATGAAGACTGTGTTTTTTTTCTTAAAATTTTTTTTTTGTTGAAATGCACTGATAACTCTTTATTTGTGTTGATTATGCCATGATATTTTTTTGATAGCGCTTTTGAGATCCTTTGAATTAGCGCTTTATTAAATTTTTCATTAATAATTATTATTATTATTATTAGAGAATTTGTAATGGGCTTTTATGAACAGATAGCGTTGAACAGAAATGTCTGCAGAAATTGCATGTATAACAGGTTATTGACTTGAGACACAGTAGGTGACTGTTTCAAATCGTCGGACTGGTGACAAAAAATCATGTATATAATACACTGAAGATCCCAACTAAATCTTAAAACAGTCAATGAAACGGTGTCACATTTTCTTCTAACAAAACAAAGTTAATAAACATTCTGACTTGTTATCTTCCAATCTACAAAAATCCAGTAAACTGAATTTACCATAACTTTATTGGGACCAAATTATTCATAACACCGCAGCTTCATGTATTCTGAATCTCTAAATTTCAAACGTGTATGAATTAATTTTACAAATTTAAACAGTTGTTAAACAATTAATTAGTTATTATTATTATTATGCAACGCTGACCAAAGCACATCATAAATCCCAATTAGTTACAATTAACTGTTAATTGTCTTCTGGTATAAAAGCTTAGACTTCCATTCAGCTCAATCAATCTTCGTTTTGCGTCCAGAGACCCACTTCTCCCGAGGTAGGAAGTTGTTTTCTTTGCCATCAACTTTTTTGCGCCAAATTAGGCAATCAGTTGTATCCATTTCATTTAAATTTTTTGGACGGTCTTTGGGACGTGTGCCAGGTACTTCAACATCTGCAAGAGAAGTTATGGCACTGTTTCCACTTCGTTTGACATGACCAAACCACCGCAGACGGTGTTGCTGGCATTCGTCCTTTATATCATCTAAACCAGCACGACGCAGGATTTCGGTAGATTTGATGTGGTCCTTCAGACTAATTCGTTGCATCCATCGGAGCATTTTCATGTCGGTTCGTTGAAGTTGTTGTTCCAGTTTGGTTGTCATTGGCCATGTTTCTGCACCATATAACAACATCGGACGTATCACAGATTTATAAAGTCTTGATCGTAGTGGTAGTTGGGATGTCACGCCGCATCAATATAGAGGTAAGCAGGTAAGGAGATGCCATTTATTCCAGGCTGCACGTATGCGTGCTCGAACGGCAGCTTTAGCTGTTCCAGTACAATCCAGAACATCCCCTAGATATTGAAACGATGTGACTTTCTTTACCTTGATGGCTTCAAAAACAGTGCTATTTCGAATTTGTTGTTGTGGATTGATGCAAGCAGGACAAACAAAATTGGACACTTTAGATAAAGTACCAATTATTTTTGAACAACGTTTGGGACACCACTGGTTACACTGCTGACCTTTGATTGAATTGTTACCTAAACCAGCTTACACCAGCTTTACAAACTGGACAGGGCCATCGTCCAGTATTTGTGGATTGGATGTGTTAACCAGTGTTCATTGCTTTGGTTTTGATGATATTGACTTGGAATCCATGATCGGCGAGTCTGGTGTTCCAATCTTTAAACATCTGTGCTGCATTCTGCTCAGACGTGGCTGTTAAAACGATATCATCAGCATATATTAGATTCCAAATGTCACCAGTGCGTATCGGTGTTGTGATTTCTTCCATCACAGTTATAAATAACAGTGGACTGAAAATCGAGCCTTGGTGAACTCCAACGCCGATGTCAAATGCATCTGTGTTTCCAACCGTTGTGCTGACGAGAGTCTTAGTATTCGTAGTTGTCGACGTAGACTCCACCTGATTGCTTCACGGGGAACTCGATCAAATGCTTTTTCAAGGTCTACAAAAATGTGTGATAGTTGTTGATGCTTTGCAAGGTATTTCTCTTGCAGTTGCAGGATGTGAATTGCATCAATTGTTGACTTCCATTCAGTTCATACAGAGGAAACAACTAAGAAGTACGTCACAAAAGCCTTTCACCTCAGACAGGCTCATGCAAAGAGCCTGTCTGAGGTGAAAGTTGAACCATCTGGATCAACTTTCAAAAGTTGATCCAAATGGATCAACTTTTGAAAGTCATTGTAATTGTAACCATGTGGTCAATTTATGCGCAATACACAATTATTATTCCAGATGGATCAACTTTTGAAAGTCATTGTAATTGTAACCATTTCTAAGCTAAAATAAATATAAATAAACCATAATATTTAGATAAAGAAATAATTCTACTCCAGTCATTTTCTCAGTAGATTAATCTTAATTTTTGTTACAGCTGTTTATGTTTCATACACTTGAATGTCCCAAAAAAATATCAGAAATTGCCAATCTTGGTCCTCAAATTTTAAACTAGATCAGACTAGTGTAGATTTCGTATACGAAAACTAGCTAAACGAAAAAAATTTTTGGTAAATACTAAAACGAAAAAAATAAAATAAACGAAAATAAAATAGAAACGAAAAAATTTAATTCAAATAAAATTTATTATAGACTTTTTAAAATTTTAATGAAATTTAGGATTTGCTGTCTTTGTTTCAATTTCATTGTCCAATATTTAATTTCCGTCTTCTTTTTTGAATCGTTTGTTGGCCACGTTGCGTAATTGTAAATTTATCTAAGTTGATTTGTTGTTGCAATAACTGGTTTGCAATTCATGATTTAACTTAAGAATGAGTAACCTTTCAGGCCGTCGAAAAAAGTCCAGTATGGGATTATTTTAAATAACAATTAAACAGTATTACGTGCTTGTGTTTATGCAATGAAGGGAATTGCAAAAAAATAATTAAAGGAAAAAATCCAACAAGCTTAAAGACACATAAGGAAAGAAACCATTCTAAAGAGTATCAAAAATTTTTAACAACTTCAGAATGTGAGATGACTCAGAATTTACATATGACAATATTTACATATGACATTTATATCATATAAGATGGTCTTGAAAGAAAATGGTATCATAAATTTTTAACTCTCAAAAAGATTAGAGCTCCCAATTTTAAGTAAGGTAGCATTAGATTTAATGATTTAATTTCTGTTCTATTCTTTCAAGCGTATGTCAAAAGAACATTTTTGCTATGTGAAATCCTTTTATCTGAAAGAAGAATTCAATTAGATAAAAGTTTGGAAAAAAATACTCATGAAATTAAAAATTATTTGATAGATGAACTTAAAGCTTTGTATTTATTTGTCTAAAATTGTTGTTCTACATATTATATACATTTTTTTCTTGAATATTGTATATATGTTAGTCAAAAAAAGGTGAAATTTTATGTTGACATTAATAACAATTAAAACACTATTTAAAAAACTTAAACATTTGAAACGAAATAATTATTAAAACTAAAAAAAACTTGGAAACTAAAACGATTTAAAAAAATTTATAAAACTAACTAAAACTAGAAACTAAAAAATTCTACAACGAAATCTACGCTAGACCAGACATCCTAAGCATTCCACCCACAAACTCTTTTCTTCAGATGCCAACAATTCAGCGTGTCATTTTCTCTCATATTTAAGAAACATCAACTCCTACTACTACACAATAAAAACGAACTGAACACATGTGAACCTCAATCCACATACACAGGCAGGTCTCTCTTGCATTTGAGTCCAATCACTGAAACCGAGAGCAGAGTGTCCTACCATTATTTCATCTCACAGACATTTAATATCAATAATTGTTGAAGATTAAGATTAATGAACGATTTCATAATAAATCTTGTAGTAGCAACAGGTAATGATTAATAATAGAAACCAGTCCAAAAAATATTGTTAAACAATTTAGCAAACATTTTATCAAAAAAATCATATTTACTAAAATGTCAGCTGATGATATTGTGATAGAAAAATAATAATAGTTATCAAGAAGGTTTAATACTTGAGTTAATATGTATGATCTTTGGGCTTCAGGGACATCAACTCGACTTGCATTGATGTAATCGATGTTGTTGTATTCTAACCTTATGCGACTGTGATCAACTGATTGTTGTTGTTTGTGTTGCTGTTTAGTGTTGGTTGCCATGAGTCATTTATTTAGAGCGAGATTAAATGTTTTTGATGAACAATTATGAAAAAGTACCATACCATAAAAATAGTACCAAATATTACTCATCACGCCACAAATACAAACCAATACAAATGTACAATGCATCACACACATCATCTCACAGACACAATTTTTTAAATGATGGGACTGAAAATAAATATATACGGATCATCAGTAAATTAAATAAAAAATAGATCTCAATCACAGCCTATCCCTTCACAGCATAATAACAATTAGAACACAACAGATAATAATGCAGTATAGACAATGCTTTTGAAACTAACAAGGGCTTATATCCTTGTAGCGATTTCTTGATCTAAATTCAGTTCTTCGGGCATCTGAATGACTTAGCTCATACCTCTCTTGTGCTTCCTGGCATATTTGCTGTTAAGAAAAAAAGCATGAGAACCTAAGTCTTAAATTATAAGAACATGTTTTGAAACATTTAAAAATTAAAATAAGACCTGTATTTAAAAATATTAATAATTATAACTTGAGAAAACAATGTAATCATTATTGTTAAATTAATTTTGAAAAAAAATGAATTAAAAAAATTAACCAAATAACAGCATCTAATTGAATAACTAAGTATCAAAATGTTTATTATTATGGATTGAATGAATGCACATGCACATCAACCCACAAATATTTGTGTACAAAATATAAATTTTTAACCATGTTTGTTTACCATGTTTAAGAGATTGCAAAGAAATAATATTGTACTATTATTTATTATAAAACTCAAAATATTTTAACTTATCTATTATAAAATTTAAATAAAATTAAATTTAAATAAAATTAATTTAAATACAGAGTTTCAATTTCCTGCAATAAACAAATGATGAAATGATCAATATGGCAATATGCATGGTAAATAATAGAGCCCCAAGCGGACAACCTCAATACGGTTTAATGCATCATTGGTTGCAGGTAAAAAATTCTTAAAACTCTGTGGTATTTGCAGATTTTGTCTGTGCGGTTTACCAGTGAAGCAGATTCAAGTGCGTTATTTAGAAAAACTTGCCCGCAAAATTAAATTTATAATTTTCAAAATTTTAAGAATAAAAAAATTTTGTCTTTCATTATTAATTGAAAAAAAAGTGTTTGTGTGTCCCAAGGGATCCGTGTTAATTAAACCAAGCAAGAAGCTTCTACTAATTACTTAAGCAAATTTGAAAAAAGAAAGTTAAGACAATGTATATACATGCATACACACCTACAACATACATATATATGTTGATACGCGTGCATATTTGTATTATACAAAATGAATGTGTGAAGTTTAACTATTTATCATACTTAACACAGGTGTTATTATCACCATACATACACATACACATGTATGATACACACATACGTATGTATACAACATACAAATATATGTACTGTACATATATATATATATATATATATAATATATGCACATATATATATATATATATAACTTGAGTATAACACAACATAACATTTTTTAAATTAATAAATAACTTCTTGGTGTTTTCTCTTCATTGTTGATTTTGTGTTGGTTGTTCTGGTCGATGTTATTTTTATTATATTATTATATTAGAAAGTTATTAAATTAAGAGATATCTTTGCAACAGATTATATGTTGTAAAAAAATTGCCTTCTTGTGTTGCTATTTTCTAAACATGAGATTTTGGTTGTCTTGTAAAGGATGCGGTGCAAATGCAGATTATGAGGGGTGCGGATGCAGGCAAATGCGGACATGAACTTTGCTAATGCGGGCAGTTGCGGTTTAGAAAAATCTTCGCTTGGGGGTCTAGTAAATAAATTAATAATTGCTAACATTTATAATTGTAATTGAAGCTTAAATATAAAATTATAAATTGCAGCCAAAATAGAATGAAAAAAGTGTCAAATAAAACAATAAATGAATAAAGAAGCCGCACAGCAACCGAACAACACAACGATATACATTGTACACGGTTGACCAGCTGTCATATTTCTCGAACAGGTACAATTCCAATTCCGGATCCATGCTTGTCTTGTCGGCAGACAAAGAAGTTCATAAGCAGCCTCGATGAAAATTTCAAAAGATAATTAAAAAAAGATTTTAAACAAACGAAAAATGATGTATCACGTATTTTTCGTCACGTAAGTTATCCAACCGGATCGCTAAGCAACTGAGTTTCAATCTACACTGTTAAAATTTAAAAAAAGTCGATGAAGTTGGTGACGTTAATTTCATGAACAAATTTCTGACATTCAGATAATGATGCAGCTTGACTATGGAGTACCCATTGAATTATACAAATAGAAAATGAAATGGCGCGTTTGATTTGAACGCTGACCTAGAATCATTTACGTCATTTAGCTATATTTTTACTCTTAAACCATCTGTAGGGCCTCTCTCAAAATATCCAGCATTATATACAAAAACGAATTTAAACATCTTTGACGGGGAGAGCCAAGAAACTAACAAAATTTGGAGAGTATGATTATAATAAGGTTGGTGGCGACCTTTTTTTGTTTTGAATGAAGTAGGTACTGTTTAACTGGATAAAAACACTACAAAATATGCACTGTAAAATTATTTACTCTTTAGCAATTCTATTTTACACATTACAACTACAACTACCTCTGCGATCTTCGACGACAACAACAACTACTACTAATGCTGCTGCTACTACTGCTATTACTACTATTTGCAACATGAACGGGAATATTGTTGCCACTTCTATAGCTACTAGTTATGAAACGAATAGTACTACTATAAGGAATAATAATGATGATAATAATAATTATTATTATAATAATAATAACAATTATAATAATAATAATATAATTACTTCTACCCCAACTGATACTTCTGCTATTACGCAACGTCGTAAATTTAAGAAGCCCTCGAAAAAAATTCAAGTCAACAACGCCGATGTTAATGTCACTGAGAAGAATGACAACAATGAAAACAACAACAACAACAACAATAATAATAATTACGTTGATGATGATAATAATGTGTTCTCTTCTGCTGCCGATGGTAGTGTATTGAAAGCCAGCAAGAAGCTGAAGAGGCTGCAACAGAAGATGCACAGCAGACTTGAAGCTACAAGCAGCGCCGACACAAGCAGCCCGCAGCAGAGACCGACGGCGCATCCTCGTAGCGCGTCTCGCAACCAATCGGCGATGACGTCACGACATCACGTGACCGGCGTCAACTTGGCGACTGTGGAAGTTGATGATGGGGAGGAGGAGGAGGAGGAGGGAGGAGATGACGACCTATGCGAGATCTTGACAAGATGCCAGAGCAGAAGGTTGAACGACCAGCGGTCATCGTATCTCGGAATGGAAAAGGGATACACCTCACATTGTCTTTTACGTTTAGCGTGATGGCGGCACGTTTTCTCGGTGGTTTTTTAGTTTGGGTGGATTCTTGTTTTCTGCTTCTGAACAAGTGAGTTCTCTTCTTTTTTACTATGACTATTTTTTTCTATATCTTTCAACATCTTTTCCTTAACTTGAAAATATTATTATGTCTTATTCTCGAGACTTTCTCTTAAGCCTTTCTAACACTCCTTTGTCTCCGACGAGAGTAGTTCGGCGGCGAATTTTTTACTTTAATCTTAGGTCTAATAATAACAATAAAAATAATAAATCTAACTCTAACAAAAAAATAAATATAGTTAGTAACCATAATTATATTAATAATAATAATGTTATTAGCAAGTATAATAAGAATAATAATAATTTTATTAAATCCTACTCTAATCCTAATGTAATTAATACTAATGATAAGAATAATAATTCTAATTCTATTAGTTTAAATAATATAACTAGATTTAAAAATACCAATATTCAACCTACCTCTACATTTTCACTGTTTAATATTAACATAAGATCAATTAATAAAAAATCGCTCTATATCCATCAAATAATCTCTTCCTCCTTACCTGATTTTTTTACTCTTACTGAAACTTGGCACGAGGACTCTAACTCTCCCTCTCTTATTCTTGCTACTCCTGATGGTTACAGCTTCCTTGAACTCTCTAGACCTCCAAAAAATCTTCTATCATCTTCTCATTCTTCTTATGGAGGTATCTGTCTGTTTTATAAATCTCTATTTACTGCTTCCATTAATACTTCCTTTCACTTTTCTTCTTTTGAATGTCTTGCTGTATCTCTTAAGTCTTCTTCTCTATCTTTCTATATTGCTGTAATCTATCGCCCTCCTTCTTCTTCTCTCACTTTATTTTTAGATGAATTCTACTCACTCGCTGAATCTCTCTACTCTTTTTCTATTCCTTTCTACATCTCTGGTGATTTTAACTTGCACTTCAATAATTTATCATGTTCTTACACTTGTAGGTTTAATGATATTTTGTCTCTTTTTAACTTAACTCAATATTGTTCTTTTCCTACCCATACTTCTGGTAACACTATTGATTTTATTATAGCTTCATCTTTTTCTAAGCCTATTAATATCTCTGCTAGCTCTGTTCATTACTCTGATCACCTTCTTATTGAATCTGTTTTTTCATTAGATTTTCTTCCTTCAAATTCATCTATGTCTATTTCTAAAAGATGCTGGTCTTCTCTTAATAAAGATATTTTTCTTCAATCTCTTACTGAACTTATTTTTGATACTACCTTATTTTCTGATGTTGATGATTTTGTCTGTGCTTTTAATATCTACATTACTTCTATTCTTGATAAGCTTATTCCTCTTAAATCTTTTACTTATAGGCTCTATTCTCGTAAGGCTCCTTGGTTTGATTATGCTTGTGTAGTAGCCAAGAAAAGTGTTAGAAGACTGGAGAAAGCCTATAGGTTAAATCCATCTAACTCTCTTTATTCTATCTATGAATCTGAATTGATTAATTATAAATATCTACTATTCTCTAAACACTCTACTTTTCTTAGAAATTCTATAACATCTGTTTCAACATCTAAAAATAGGTGGTCTGTTCTATCTAAACTTCTACATAAAAAATCTTCTCACTCATCTTTCTCTGCTCAACAGTTTCATGACTTTTTTGTAAATAAAATTACTTCTTTAAGAACATCTAATTCTAATTTTCCTTCTCATAACTTTACTAAACTTACTACTGAATCTTTCTCTGTATTTACTCCAATAAATCTTTTAGAACTAACTAAAATTATTAATTCTATGTCGTCTACAACCTGTTCTCTAGATCTACTTCCTTCTAATTTACTTAAAGAATTCTCTTCAATATTTTATCCAATCATTCTCAAATTAGTTAATTTATCTCTTTCCACCTCTAAATTTCCTACTTCTTATAAGAATTCTATTGTTAT